TGCCGGGGACCGTGTCCACGCCTCCCGCTCGGTTTGGGACCCCTCTGTGTCGGGGGGAAGGAGCCGCAAACCTGAATCCAGAGCTTTGGGGCTTTGGCTGCAACGCGAGGCTCGATTGTGCGACCAGCTGGAAATTCAGCGGCAGCTTCAGACACACCTGGAAGGTGACGAGGGTCTTGTTGCTGCAAACAGCCGATGCAGGCGGCGTGGGATCACCATGGCATCGGTCTGCTGGGGCGTGGGGCATCGCGAGGACTCTCTTGTGTGTGGGAGATGGTCCAGGCGCGTGCCGTGACGGCTGCATCGGGGCTTGACGCCTTTCAGAAAGGGTTTGGGTGGTTTTTCTCTCCTTTTAGCGCCCTGAACTTGTGCTGATCCCGCTGCTGTCGCCTGGAGGTGGCAGTTGGGACATCCTCCAGCTCCAGGGATCGGCAGCAGCGTATTTAACACTTCACACTTGTTTCTCATTCTAGCTCAAACCCTCCTCATTTCGTCTTCGGTCCGGGAAGGCAGAGCTGTGCTGGTTTGGGTTTGGAAAAGTTTTTCTCACCCCACTGAGCCTCTCTCTTCTCCTCCCTGCAGGTCTACAACGTTTACATGGCGGGCCGGCAGCTCTGCTCCAAGCGGTACCGGGAGTTCGCCATCCTGCACCAGAACCTGAAACGGGAATTTGCCAACTTCACTTTTCCCCGTCTCCCGGGGAAGTGGCCGTTCTCTTTGTCGGAGCAGCAGCTGGACGCCCGGCGGCGAGGGCTAGAGGAATATCTGGAGAAAGGTACGGAGCTGGGAGCTGGACACCACCGTCCTCGCAAGCGGGGAAACAAATCCTCGGGGTACATCCTCCCATGAGCCTGCTCGTGGCTGTGCACTCCAGTCTGTTTTAATCAGAACTGCGATGCCTGTGGTTGAGTTTAGATGATGGGGTGCAAAACCTTCTCTCTGTATCCAAGTGCCAGGCTAAAAGCTCTGACCCCCCGTTTTGCAGCGGGGAGGCGGCAGGTGGGATTTGGGGAGCGATGACCCCTCGTTCCTCCTTGTTTTCTTGGTTTCCTGGAAGCAGCTCAATTAATCTGCGTGGGTTAACGGCCTCTTCCCTTACCCAGCCCCTGGGAGTGAAGCCCCCTCGTCCCATAAGATGGACGTGGGTCAGGTTTTCCCCGTCCCTGCCTTGCCCGGCTCGTTCGTCTTCATCCTTGTTACCAGCTGCTGGAGGAAGGCACAGACTGGGGGCATCTTGGAGGCAACACGATACAATTCGGGTCCATGTTCTTTGCTGAACTTGGCCCAAATTGCCCAATAGTTCCAGTCCCTCTGGACCAACTATGTATTTTTTTTTTTTTAGACGTAAAGGTACTCTTTATGAAATTCTTGCTCACTGTTAAGTGGAGCCTAAACCTCCCGCTGGCTGCGTGCCTGCGGCTGGATTTTCCCCGTGGGGAATATCTCAGCGAGTGACTCAACTCCGCCGTTCGCTCGCTGCCGCAGGGGGTTCAGGCTGGATCGCTCCTCGTGCCAGGACACCTGATACAGCCCCGTGCTTTGAGACGGTTTTTCCAGGCTGGAGATCCCACCCTTGTCCCACGCCGCCTGCAGAACAGACGCTCGTTATTTCCCTGTTCCTGGGAGCTCCCCGTTTCCCCGAGCACCCCGCTAACCCGCGCTCTCTGTCCCGCAGTGTGCTCCATCCGCGTCATCGGGGAGAGTGACATCATGCAGGAGTTCCTCTCGGAGTCGGACGAGGTAGGCACGCCGGCGGCGGCGCTGGAGCTCTGCCGTGAGTCACAGGGGCTGTAAACGCTCGGTGAAACCAGCTCGGAGAGCAGAGACCTTCCCTGCCGGAGCCTCCGTTGGCTGAACACAAAATCAAGCTGCAGTTTGCTGTTCTCGCACATTGGAAATTTTTCTCCATCACTGCCATGCCCGGAGGCGTGCACAGAGCAGAACCAGCCGCGAGGCTTCTCTGCAAGGGGAGACTGAGCAGAAAAAACACTTTTGCTGACTTTCCTGCTGGTTTCCGTGCTGGTGGCAGCCCGGGCAGCTCTGCATTTGTGAGCTGTTGTATCCATCAGCCTTTGGCCAGGCTCTCCGCATACCGTCGGACTCGCTCCTCCCAAAATTTCAGCTGCCGTGAGCTGCTGTTTGCCCTGCGGCTGTCGCTGCCGTGTCCTGGAGCTTTCGCTCTTCGCTGGCAAACCCCTGGGTGGAAAATCCTCCCCCATCGTGGTCTGGAGCGGTTTGCTCAGCTTCCTCTCTCGCTGCAGAGCTCACACCTTCCTTCTCTCAGAATTTCTCTGGCGGAGGCTGGAGGGGGATTCATGAGGCTT